TATTTTATAATCCGCATCTTTCTGGATTCCTATTGTTGCAATTTTGGACTGTTGATGTGGATATTTCTAGAGCATCGGTGTCGCTTAAATAGAAACAAAGAACTTTAAACATATTTCATATCCGTTTAACTTATAACCTCTGTAATAAATAATACTTACATTATACAGCATTTCAAAATTACATTTCACCTATTGAATTAGCATTGGTGTTCGTCAACTTCATCATTATCATCATCGTCACTGTCGTCATCAGTTTCGCTGTCGTCATCTTGCCCTATAGTTATTATAACTGGTTCCATTTCCTCCATAAATTGGTCATTTTCCCAAAATTTATCTTCAATGTCCCTAGCATGTTGACAAAATTTCTGCCAATCATTAATGGATATTAAGGACATCGCTTCCTGAGTAACTTCTTTCAGTGCGGTTAAACTGAAGTTTCCAGTGGTATTGCGGCTTCTTATATGAAATTTAAGCTTTGCCCAAGCTAATTCTATTGGGTTTAGCTCGCATAAATAAGGAGGTGTTCTTAGAGGAGTATGTCCATGTGATCTTATGATCCGATCAACTACATAATTTTTTTGGTTGTCAGGGGGCTTATGAAGTAAGACCAGATCGAACAAGTCAAATTTTCTGGCAGTTGCCTCATGATTTATGCCTATAAAATATTTTATTGTATAGTTTGATATGTACATGCATGTTTTGAGTCATAAGTACCTTTCTTTGTCAACCAGGCCATTATATCTTTTTTCGAAGATGATTTTGTCGGGGTTTTATCTTCCTGGACGGAATGATATGGAGCATTGTCAAATACTATAACCGAATTGGCAGGTATATTCGGGAGGAGTTTTTCTGTGAGCCAGCGTGTGAAATTTTCCCGATTCATCTGACCGTGGTAATCGCCTGTAGCTAATCCCGCCTTAAATATCAAACAGGCATTGTCAACAAATCCATTTTCTGAACCTGCATGGACTATAATGAGTCGACCTAAAATATACAAGACGATTATATAATATGTTACAAATCAGAGTTAAATTTAACATATATATATATAGCATTTTTGCTTACCTGTAGAACCTATACTGCTTATTACACCAGAAACAGTTTCGCTCTGCCAGCATTTTTTGAAAGTCAAGTCATTGTCCACCCAGGTTTCGTCCAAATAAACAATGTTGCGCCCTTCTTCACGATATCTACGTATTTCACGGATGTATTTGTACCTCCATTGCAATATATTAGGCCTCTCCATCAAAACTTTTCTTTTATTTTGACATTTGCGCCAAAAAAAACCATTTGATTTTAATAAACTCCTGAGTGTTTCCCTACAATAGGGGAAATTTGAGTCTTCTCGCAACTTTTGTAATAACTTCCTAGTTGTCGGGACAACTTTATATTCAAGATAAAATCTGTTTATCAAATGTCTAATAATCTGAAAATCAAAATTTTCATCTTTCTCAACAAGAGACTGACGCGGTCTTTTTTTTCCGGGACTGGATAACATTTTATTCGGGTTATTATCTAGTCTTTCTTTATCTTCGTTATGAATTTTCCTAACAGAAGATAGTCCGACTCCGGTATAAAGGGACACCCTATCAAGCTTACGTTTAAGCGGCAACTTGAGGGAATTGTTTGCCGCTTCCTCATCGCAAACCCTATAAATAATCATCAGAATGTTAGCTTAGCATTTCCTTGTTTTTTATTTATATTCAGACTCAGTAGTCAAAAACTACAATTATTGCATATTATTATTACTAACCTATAAACATTCGCAATCACTTCTCTTGTTTGGCTATGAAGCGTCTTTCCGCGAGTAAATTGGTTCATTTTAAAAAATAATACTAAAACGAATAACAATAACAAATAACAAAACACTAAACTATTCAAAAACACACAGCACTAAACATACAAACTTAATAGAACAATTAATAGTTAACAATAATAGTTGTAAAACTCGACAATCAACGGAGATAAAACCTACGCCACTGGACTTTTCAATAGTATGGATATTCTAAGAAAGGAGCAAAAAATTGTCTGGGACGGTACCCAATAGGGAGTCGAATTTTCTCATGGCGACAAAACATGTGAGGATATCCGCCAATCAGATTTGTTTAGGCGGTGTCCAATATACCTTTCGGGTGGTTGTTGCCAGCTCAACCGATGTCGATAAGATCTTTGGAAAAATGTTTACTTATAATACGATTCAGTAGTAAAAAATAGTTATTAAATACAAATAGAGCTAAAAACCCATTAAAATACTCAGTATTTTGAATTATTATTTTTTGGAATTGTGAAAAATCGATTTTCAAATCATTGAAATTACTTTTATTATTATTATTGCTTTTTTGTAGTTAAATTTGGCAATATCGAATATTTTCGGTCGCATTCCTTTCGCTGTTGCAGATCCGTTTGCCAAACTTTAGTAGGAGTTTTTAGAGTGTAATCAGTCGGTAACCCCGCTGTTTCAAAGAAAATCTTATAAAGTAAATATACGCTCGTTATTTGAGAAATATGCCACTCTCAACGGTCAACTAGGTGGCAACACAAAACATCTACTTTTTAAACGGAACACCTTGTGTATTTTGATATTCTAAAAGACCTCCAAAGGAAGGTGTAGTACACTATACATATATATAGGGTTTGGATCGCTACTTCTGGAGCTACGGGATGCTTTGTCGAAAAAAAAACACTGATCTGATAGCTACTGCCACAAATATGCCATCATGATCATGAATTGGAAAGTATCGCTGTAAATATACTACCTATATTCATTATTACGAGTACATATATCAATATAAAATCTCTTCACGATAAACTAAATATCCCCTTACTTTACCCAAAATTAAATTGTTTCTTTATTATCGTAATAAAGAAATAAATAATAAAAACAGTATTATACTGGGTGTCATCAAGGTTGGGTCCTTTCTTTATATAGCGTATAATTCAGGCAATAATGTGAAAGTTTTACACACATACGAAAGTCTTAAGATAACTGAAATATTAGGCTCCGAAAAACTCTTACCCTGATCTTCCCCTCCTTCGTCAAAGAGTATGACGTTTTGTGGTACTATGACTATGTGACTCAATACCCAATTCAGGTACCACGCGTGGGTTAAGCTAGCTTATAAACAAACCGCATTTGAAAACCGAAATTGGAACATTCCTTGAGCAATAACATAGTATAGCCGTCAATATGGACATTAAGAGACCTAGACAACTCCAAAAGTTGCAAATTTTATAAAAAGGAAACATAGTGTGATGTTCAGTCGAACAGCGACAATTTCAAGAAATAATTACAACCAAAACATGTGACAGAACAGTACTGAAAATGGTGCAGCAAATAAGTAGTGAGCATTTTTCTTCAACTTCGTTTTACCTTCTGAGCGATGTTTGACCGAAAAAATTGTAACTTCAAACGTAGCTGTTTCTGAAAACGAAAGTCTCAACCTTTATGAAACCCTGGGTTTTTTATCACTATGTGACCGCATGTTTATTGAGTTCAACGACATAATGGGTGATATGCATAAAGGCGAGTGGCTACTTTTGACTCGCATTTTTAAAGTAGCCACTCCGTTTGATATGCATAAAATTGTAAGTAGAAGCTCACACTCATAAGTTTCTACTCTTTCCGTGAGGCTGTACTCGCTCCTTGAGTGCCGACTTTAATTTTTATATGCATAAAAGCGAGCGTCCACTCCGACCGCTGAGTACATACTTAAAGAAATGCGAGATACCTTAGTAGTAGACTCAGCTTTATAAGAAGTGGATGTCTTCACGAAATGGCCGAATTTATGCCTATTTATCAGCCTACGAAGGTGTTTGAAGATCGTAGGAAATCAAGGAAAGTAGACTATCGGGCCTTATATCGGTTTAGTAAAGTTAAAATAAGTAAGTTTAATAAGTAACCAGTTTTTATGTTTTGAATCTTCTTCCAAATCTGCCCTTCATTATATTTAACTCCTAATTCTGCTTCTACCTTTTCTTTCATTTCTTCAACCGCCTTACGGCGTTTATTTTTGATTTCCGGGATGTTTAATTATATTAACAAATACTGTTTGATCTTCAAATGAATGGTCTTCAGAATAGGTTGACATCATGTAAATGAACAAATAATAATCGACCTAAACACCACCGACACAAACGTTTACCGGTATACAGTAGTAACTGCTCGCAATAGAGAAATTGCCAATTCGGCGAGACAACAAAATACAAGTCGGAACTCGAAAACCAGAGTGCCTACTCAAGTATTTCATTAAAACTTGAGTAGCCTCTCCGTTTCTCGATAAATATTTTATGCATATCAAAACCGAGTAGGCTCTCCGTAACAGGAGTACTTACTCGCTACAATATGGAGTCGCTACTTCTGAGAACCCACTCGCCTTTATGCATATCACCCAATGGGTGATATGCATAAAGGCGAGTGGGTTCTCAGAAGTAGCGACTCCATATTGTAGCGAGTAACTACTTCTGTTAGGGAGAGCCTACTCGGTTTTGATATGCATAAAATGTTTGTCGAGAAACGGAGAGGCTACTCAAGTGCTAATGAAATACTTGAGTAGGCACTCTGGTTTTCGAGTTCCGACTTGTATTTTGTTGTCTCGTCGAATTAGCAATTTCTCTATTGCGAGCAGTTACTATACTACTGTATACCGGTAAACGTTTGTGTCGGTGGTGTTTAGGTCGATTATTATTTGTTCATTTACATGATGTCAACCTATTCTGAAGACCATTCATCTGAAAATCAAACAGTATTTGTTAATATAATTAAACAGTATCCTGTTTTGTTGGAAAAATCTAACATCCCGGAAATCAAAAATAAACGACGTAAGGCGACTGAAGAGATAAAAGAAAATGTAGAAGCCGAATTAGGAGTTAAATATAATGAAGGGCAGACTTGTAAGAATATTCAAAACATAAAAACCAGACTAAAAGCGAAGGCAGACAGATATCAAACCGGAAACAAAACAATAAAATTGAAAGGATGGGAACAACAACTGTTCAATTTTCTACCAGGAGAACCAAATCCTAGTATTGCTCGATTGCAATGTTAGTTGTATTTTTTTGTTTTTCCATACAGTAGGTATAAGATGTGATTGAGTATAATATATATATATATGTCAATAAATATAAATAGCATATATTTTAAATTTTATGTGCTGTTGTGGCAGGTTGCCCACAAAAAAGCATTGATTACACTCCAACAGCCTGTGCTGAAGAAGAAACAATCACCGAAGAAGCATCTGGAAGTTCAGGACCAGTACTGAAAGCTACCACAATGAAAGCCGGACCCAGTAAAGATTCTTCTAAAAAAAAGGAAAACGAGGATTAGTGGAAACTGATGAAGCACGAGATTTATCAATAACAGAGCTCCAACGTCTCGTTTTACTTGAACAAATACAAGTGTTTCGGCTAGCTAAGGAACTGCTACTTCACAAGAAAAATATTAATGAATCTGATCCTTCACATGTGGTTGGGAATCTAATCCAAATGTTCGAGTTCTGCACAATGCGTGTTATAACGTTGGAAACGGTTCGGGATGCCGTAGATTGATGGACACCAATAGCTTCTCCTATGCCAATTTGAAATCCTGGATCACCCACATATCGTAAAAAACCCTCATTCTTTCTATATTGCTCAAAGCACCGCCCCTATATTCTTCTGTCTCTCCAAAAAAATGGTTACTTATCCACTCAACATTAACTTTACTAAACCGATATAAGGCCCGATAGTCTACTTCCCTTGATTCCCTACGATCTTTAAACACCTTCGTAGGCTGATACGTAGGCATAAATTCGGCCATTTCGTCCACTTATTATAAAGCTGAGTCTACTACTAAGGTATCTCGCATTTCTTTAAGTATGCACTCAGCGGTCAGAGTGGACGCTCACTTTTATGCATATAAAAATTGAAGTCGGCACTCAAGGAGCGAGTACAGCCTCACGGAAAGAGTAGAAACTTATGAGTGTGAGCTTCTACTTACATTTTTATGCATATCAAATGGAGTGGCTACTTTAAAAATGCGAGTCAAAAGTAGCCACTCGCCTTTATGCATATCACCCAATGTAACCAGGTTTCGTCAAATGTTGTATTGCGAACATCTGAGCATGACGTACGTTAAGTAATTATGAAATATAATCAATATTTTAAACCTTTTCCACGCTCACCACCTATATGCCAGAGTTAAGGATATCTCAAAAATATACGAGTATCCATTTGGTAAAAAAAGCTGCAGGAAGAAATCTATTCTCAAGCTTATGTGCATCGCTTTGCACATGTTTAACAGTAGAAATGTAAGCAGTGATTCAGAAAGGATTTACTTACATGAAAACGAAATAGCTTTGTTCTGATCACTATGTATCCACAGTGCCTTCTTAACAGAAATAAGCACTCTATGTATAATCATCCTGACCTATGGGTCCCTGTCGGTCAAACCTTAAGTAATATAGTGATAAATAATGAATATGCAAAGTACATATGTTTCATAATATTAGATGCTAGTCTAGTGCGAATGAAAATCAACAGAAGAATTACAAAATTGCTACATCTCTATCAAGTATCTCAAGGTCGAAAGCAGGAAACAAGTGGCATTCCATTTGCAATCATATGTCGATATGAGTAAAACGAAAAATGAGTATTCAGCTTATTCTTCACTATTGATAAATTGATCCGTGACAATTACACCAGCATGACCCACACCTTGGTAGAGTATGCGTTTCGACATATTTTCACCAAATATTTTTTCTCTTAGAGCTTCCACAAACGCTTTTGCGAATTGAAACTTATATTATGGTTTCCACGTTCATAGGATTGAATCGTTGCCTAACAGAATCAAGACCATATACATGCTTAAATTTCCTTTTAATGTACGATGTTTTGACCACCACTGTGGCCGTTTTCAAGTACAATCAACACCTGTGACAGGATATTCTGTTTTCTGCCTTCCAAGTGGCAATTCATTTCTTTTTACTTTTTCACACGGTGGTGTAAAAGTGTCCATCCAAAGTCAATGAGCACCTGGGGTAGACATTTCCGCTCCCCAAAGCATGTCTTGCACCTCAAAGCGACAGGCGAGCATGAGGTTATCCGTCGTTTTTAATGTGCCAGACAAGTTACCTTCGTCAATCGCTCCGAAAATGACAAAAGCTCTCTGAAAATGAGAAAACTCACCCAGAGCTACTATCGAAACACGATAGTTAATTGTTATGCAATTTTCGACTGCAAATGCGGCATGCGCATTGCTTATGGATGTGAAACGCAAAAAATATTACTTGTAATGGGTGATTTTTTTGCTAGTATCTTTTTGGCAACACTGTTTTTGACAGATGACGCGTGAATCGTGTCTTGTGTCATTGTCAAACTTGTTCAGTTTGGTCTATAACTTAACCATGAATCGACTTACGAACAAACAACGCTTGCAAATTATTGAATTTTACTATCAAAGTTCATGCTCGGTTAAGAGAGTGCATCGAGCACTGCTTCCAATTTATGGGCAATTTGGTCGGCCTACTGAGGGAGCTATTCGGAAGCTTGTGACTAAATTTCGAACCCTGTTTATATTATTTTATATTATTCGACATTAAACCCCCAACACGCAGACGTAGAGTGCGTTCTGAAGAAAATATTGCGGCTGTCTCCGCCAGTGTTAGTGATGACCGTGAAATGTCGATTCGCCGTCGTTCGCAGCAATTGGGCCTCTGTTACTCCACTACGTGGAAAATTTTGCGACAGGATTTGAGTGTAAAACCTTATGAGATACAGCTGGTGCAAGAATTGAAGCCACACGACCTCCCACAACGTTTCCCATTTGGTGAATGGGCGCTGGCAATGTTGGAGGAAGATCAACATTTTTATCGAAAAATTGTGTTCAGCGACGAAGCTCATTTCTGGTTGAATGGGAACGTTACCAAGCAAAATTGCCGCATCTGGAGTGAAGACCAGCCAGAAGCATTGCAAGAGCTACCAATGCATCCCGAAAAAATCACTGTTTGGTGTGGATTACGGGCCGGAACGTAACTGTGAATGGCGAGCGCTACCGTGCGATGATAACAAACTTTTATTTGTCCAAAATGGAAGAGCTGGACTTGGCTGACATATGGTTTCAACAAGACGGTGCCGCCACATGCCACATCGCACACGAAACAATGGCCCTATTGAGAGGCGAGTTCGGTGAACAGTTTATCTCACGTTTGGGGCCCGTCAATTGGCCGCCTAGATCGTGTGATTTAACGCCGTTGGACTATTTATTGTGGGGCCATGTTAAGGCTAATGTCTACAGGGATAAACCAGCAACGATTGACGCACAGGAAGCCAATATTGAAGCATTTATTCGTGAGATACCGGCCGATATGTTGGAGAGAGTGTGCCAAAATTGGACCTTGCGCATGGGCCATCTAAAGAGGAGCCGCGGCCAACATTTACATGAAATAATCTCTAAACATTAAATTATATCGACCGTTCTATCGACTCAAATAAAGATTTAATCGTTTTTAAAATTTTTTAGATTTTTTTGAAAATCAAATCCTATACCTCTTAAAAAATCACCCGTTAGAACTATGTTCTTTACCTTATGAGGAAAAAATATAAGACACAACAATTTCTCCTTGAGGTTTCAAGTAAAACGTCTACGCATTCAAGAGCCAGTAACAAATCATAGGAAAAGCATATCATTTAGACTATTCCTTTAAGGATACTAAACCAAATTATGTCACATGCCAAGAAGAGTTGTTATCCTATTTGTTCAATACCTTTATGTCTATTCCATGTTTCCCATACATCCTCGCTTACAGCTGATTTCACCGTTCCTCCCTTTGTTATATAGCCCTTATGTTCGTTAATTCTACACTCGACAAGTCTCAATGTTTCGTCAAAGCACGGTCTATTTTAAATATTGAGTTTTTTGTCAGTGTCATAGTTATTTTGACAACAGTCCTGGTGTTAATTTTTTTGTATACACCTCTAGGCCTTTCGAATCATCCTCTGACGTATGTTGTACAGAGTCTACTGGTTGTGGTTTGTAGATGTCCTGATTTTGATTAGTTTTGAGCTGTTTGTACTCCAGATATATTACAACGACGACCTTACGTCCTATCTGTCGTAAGAAAGCTGTGTCACCATATATGCGACAACATGCAGAGAGCTTATTTTTCTGGAGTTGCGACGAAGTTCCAAGCGCAAATCCACTTTTACACATGGCAGTGTGATTCGCAGCCATTCGTATCCAACATCTAGTCGGCAAATGTGACAAAGCACCCCACTTACCTCCCCTTTCAGGACTTTCCCTTCCTGTGAAATGTAGTTTCGCAAGTAAGTCCATTTCGGAGTGCGCTGCTTCCAACGCAAATTGGCTTTGCAACTAGTGTAGCAGGGCGCCCACCTTCGACACATCTCTTATGTTTCTATTCATTAGTTGACGGATGGCGTAGGTCTAATCTACTTTGCGCTCATTGGATGTTGTGTGTTTGTTTTCCGGGAATCCTTGCGAAACTTGCCATTTATCAGAAATATTAAGTTTTCAGCTTTTTTAAACAGCTTCACCGTATATTTTCACTGGGTACTCATTCCATCGTAGTCCGGGCAATATCTTCGGATCTGATGACAAAGAATAACATAATGTGGATTATTGAAGCTATCGTAAAACGATCCCTATTAACGAATCTGCTTTTTGCCAAGCCCAAATTTGCGACCAAAAAAGTTTCAAACGATTTTTTTAAAGTAATTCCAAAAATTACGTATTTGCTCCGGTCAAAGTGTGATTAGGTCTGAACAAAAAAGGTGATGTGGTGAAACTCTCTTGTAAAGTTAATAGTTTTCGAGATATAAGCGATACGACATTCGAGAAAGTGAGAAATATGACATTTTCAACCCCATAAAACAACCTAAAAAAAAAAAACAAAATTTTGATGTTGTTCTTAAATGCTCCTCAAGCATCCCTTAACGAAGTCTCAAAGTATTTTAGCACGTAGTGCTATTGTAAACCTTAATTTTGGTGGTTAATTGAGCATGCGCTCAATGGTTCCCGCAGCGCCTGGCGGCCGCGGCCACTTTTACATTTTCCTCATACTCGTATCCAACGAGAAACTAATTTTCTTACGCCTAATCCTTCTTGTAAATTTTTTTGTATTGAGGTCTTTGAGATCTTCAAGGACGCCTCAATCTCGCGATATGTCACATGTCTATCTTCAATGATGAGTTTGCGCACAGCATCGACGTTTTCCTGGGTGGCTGACGTTTTTAGTGCACCCACCCTGGAATCGTCGCCAAGACTCACCCGTCCACGTTTGAATTCTCCATAGCAACGGGAAATTGTCGACTGATGTGGCACTTCGTTACCTCAGCAAGGCATTCTTGTTGAGATAATTGTCTCTGAAAGTTGTATAAAATTATGGCGCGAAAATGTTCTCGGTTGAGTTCCATTTTTCTAATGACTTGGTGACACTCAAAAATTCACTGTAGTGAGAACGCTGCACATATTGTTGTGAAACTTTGAATTTAAGTTCAATAAAGAGCGAGGTTAAGATTCAGTACTGACGTTCGATCCGCGCGGCCTACTATGTTTCTATATGCAAAACTTAAAAGACATCTCTCGTACCTCACCTGTTGACTGAAGAGCAGAAAACAGCCAGGGTTAATTGGTGTCAAAAAACGCTTGACCGTTTCAATTCCGGAAACTCCAAAAATGTGTACAGCATTGTTAGTGGTGATGAATCGTGGGTTTACTGTTATGAACCAGAAAATTAACGACAGTCGGGTGTTTGGGTGTTCCAAGGTGAAGTAAAGCCAACAAAAGTCATCCGTTCTCGAAGTGTTTCGAAAAAGATGGTCGCGACATTTGTGTCAAAAGCGGGTCACATTGCAAAAATTCCTCTTAATGAGCAAAGCACTGTTACTGCGGATTGGTATACCACCATTTGTTTGCCAAAAGTCATCACCGAGCTTCTAAAAATCAACCCCGAAAGAAGAATAATCTTCCACCAAGACAATGCAAGCTCGCACACAGCCCAAAAAACAAGGCAGTATTTAACTGAAGAAAACTTGGAATTATTGGACCATCCTCCATATAGTCCCTATCTAAGTCCTAATGATTTCTTAACTTTCCCGAAAATTAAAAACAGACTGCGTGGTCAAAGGTTCCAGTCACCAGAAGTAGCAGTTGGCGCTTTCAAAAATGCCGTTTTGGATCTGCCAGCAAACGAGTGGAATACTTCGAAAAACAATAGAGTAATTTATAGCTACCTACCGTGTTGTTTTATTTCCATGAGCAAAACATAAAAGATATCCCTCGTAAGTGATCAAAACAGTAAAAAACAGGTTACGTGATTTTGGCACGTGACAAAGCCTATGAAAACATCGATCCTCTATAACCCAATTAAGTATTGAGTATCACAATGTGTAAATTCCCTTAGGAAAGTTAAGCACCGCAAATGGCATGGTTGGTTGATCTGTTTATTTCAGATGACGCAAAAAATCGTGTCAAGATCTATAAGCTTGCTTTTCTGCTGGACATTGACAATCTAGTCTGGAATGAGGTTACAATAATACGCTATCTATCGAGCACGTCACTGGAGGCAATATCAAACAGCAGCAAATGCATCGTTTTGTTGGCGCTTTATGGCAATCATCTCACAAAGTATTTCGGTGAATCGAGTGAATGCCGTGACACGCATACGTAAAAAGGAATCAGCTCATCTCGGTTTACATGCTGGTCACGCTCCGCGCTCAGCGCAAAGATTGTTTGAAAACATAATTAGCTGTGGACGAAACGAACTATTAATGGGATACTGTCGGTAATTGAAACTAGATTTGTGCTGACTAGCACAAAATAGTGATAATATAGATGCGAACGTTAATTCTTAATTGTTAAGACATTCGAAGAGATTTCAGGTTAAAGGTATTCGTCCGTTGTAGTAGCGTGCAGTAGCGTCAATCCGTGATTCTGCTTGCGTGGAGTACTGTAAAGTATAGGTGATTCATTTTGTCTTAGTATGAAGGAGATTGGTTTCAGACAAGGATATGATGTATTCAAAGTAATGCAATAGTTACTCTGGATACTTTGGACATTATTAATGCAACATTTTAGTACAAAAATATATTAGTGCGTGAATCATCTCACAGTCTGTGTGACGTGTCTCAACATGGAGTAATGGTGTAATGAAACAATTGTGATTCATCGTTCACTTTGAGGCGCTTTGGTAAACAACGTTATTTGATGTATTATTATTATGGTCCGAGCCTAATTACTTGATGTGATGGAAAAGTGTATAAATCGTGAGCTTCTGGAGTAGCTCTAACATCACGGGTTTGATTAGCGATAGGCGGTATGGTTTCCGGTACTAGCGATCTACGGGGCACCTCCTAGCTCACGTCACGCAGTTGTGGAGTAAACACATTCATTCTTATAGTCAGGCTCATACTGCATTTGGAATCACGAGAGCGTTCTATCAGCTGTGGTACGCTGCCCTGTTATGCACACTTTCCATTCTATGGCCATCCAGAGAAGCTTTGTAGATGGGTGGCTGACTTCCTCTATGGAAAAGATATCCGTCGTAATTGGCGGATTCTCCTCCTCCTTGATCAGGTAGTATTTTACCTACCTGGATCATCAGTCAGTTTAGTTTTGAGACTGTTGTCAATGTTTTTAAAATGTTTTCTAAAATATTTTGTGCTTTTTTTGCTAATAATTTTTTTGAAGTACACGTTTTAAGTAGCCCTTCAGGTATATAAAAGAGAATCTCCCATTATTTCTTACAAGAACAATATTTGAATACACAAGGAACCGGTGCAAGAACTTGTTTAGTCTTCTTATCTTGGCTTTATGAATCAAGTTTCAAATACCTAATCGCATTTAAAACAACATGCACGGTGGCGTTATAATCAAGCCGAATCGCACATTAGACTACTGAGTCGAGAAAGTTTGCAAACATTCCAGGCGGTGCCTCAAACTGTGATCAAAATTAAATTGTGAATTTCCGACCAACCAAAATTATTTCAGTATACAAAACCGATCAAAATTCTCCTTGAAGTTACAAAATTATTCGAGTATCCAATAATGCTGAACCTATACGAAATTATTTACTTCGTCCCTTTGCTCTACTTCTTCCTTCCTTTCCTTCGTTCCCTTTCCACTATCAGCATGTTTGGTATCTGGGTAGCCAGGCCTTACAGACTAACAGACAGATGAGACTTTTGACTAAGACCACCGGACCGCTCTGACGTAAAATGATGAATAGTATATGTTTAATCGCCCAAATATGATTAATCCGGTTTACTTCTTCAGATCAGGATGCCGCGGAAGTATGCCCATGTCGTCGACAGCGTTTGTTGTGTCTGTGGCAAGATGTCTTTTGCAGCTCAGAAACGAACCATCAGCCCAGTTGTGCAGAGAGCTTACTTCCACTTCCAATACTTTGGTGAGAGGACAGGTCACCAGGAGGAACGGTGGGCCTCACATGTTTGTTGTAACTGTTACTCAGTGAAACTGAGATTCGACGTATAAAATGCAGTCTAAAAGAAGACGTCAATACGAATAGACTATTGCATGATACTATTACTCTATTGGAAATAATGTTTTCATCGGACATATTTTTTGATTTTGCTGTGTTGGAAATTACACAGGTACTTAGATTTACCAATGTATATGTCGGCGTCATTTTCAGTCAAACACCGTAACAACCACATTAACTTCGTTACTGCATTCGCCTATTTTAGTCAAACGCTGTAATCAATACAGTGCACCAATGAAGTACATAATACAGCAAGGTACTACTTTATCAATAATATTAAAAGAAAAATAACCAAGCATGAATTAATCTAAAAGGAAAGAAGAATAGATTAAGACGTTGTCTTTATCATTACATTATTGTTTTCTTAGTCAAGTATTTACTATATATACGAAATCCAGCAACTGGGTGCTACTGTTGAGCAAGCCTATGTACGTTATAATTTAGGTTAGGTTCACAAAATTATAAAAATTAACTTACCTCCTTTAACTCATTTGTAATTTATGGTTTTTTCTTAGCCACACTGTCATAGTATTCACTGAGTTTCTTGTAAAACAATTCTGAATGCTACGACATTTTTACAAACTAAGAAAAGACGATGTGTATACTCAAGCAAATGAACACAAAACTGAATCTGGCAAATGCCGTAACGAAGTTGATGTGGTAGTTACGGTGTTTGACTGAAATTGTTCAGTCATTACAGGGAATAACTGAAATGCTTACTCAAACGTTGTAATAATCAAACTGTTGCGGTGTTTTCCGGCAATACGAAGACTGACTGGGCATTTCGGGTGCAGATATCGGTAATGAGTAGTTTTGAACAAGGTCGTTAGTCAAAAACAGTTTTGACTGAATTTTGCAGCCGAGAAGTGGTTTTGACCGACACTCTGAGTCAAGAACGGATTTTCCTGACTTAAGCTTCAGACAATCAGTCAAAACTCATAGAAAATTAAGATAGTTACTGGAAATTACCCAATAAAAAAAAATTTAATCGATCTATATTTAAGATGCAATGCTTTCCTTTTTTGTCCATATAATAATTCGTTAACATCGTACGAGACCTGTAAACTATGGAGACAGGAATACCCTATACAACTTCCTACTATTTATGTATTATAAAAATTGCATCATATAAATCATATTCTGTCGTAAATGCGGGAGACGTACTTATCCTTGTTAAATTGAAAAGTTGTAATTTGATATGGTTAGTACAATTAAGATATAATATATTAACATTTTTTATATAATTATATTATTTAGAGTGGCATCACTTTGCCTATTGCGTTTTACCCCCAAAGCCCGTTCATTCCATACGCATGTGACAGGGTTGACTATGGAAATTATAGATTCTGTGATGGTCGCCATATTGTATCCAGAACGTCATCACCTTGCTTACTGCATTTCTCTCGCCAAGCCATTTTATTTGATATATACTCGTATAGGGTTGGCTATGGAAACTGCATATCGTCATTTTGCGGGGGCCCCAATGTTGAATTTATGATGACGTCACCTTACTTACTGTGTTCCTTTCGCAAGTCCTTTCGATTGATATCAGTATCATTAAAATTACTGTACAAATGATAAGTAGCCATTTTATGACAAGATGGCGTTAGATAATCCATTATGTATCATCATGAGAACCACAGATGTGTAAAAAATTTCACCTAATTTGGTTAACCCTAACTTCAAAAATCAGTTACTACCCGCACTAACTAATAGGTCAAGTTGAATAAAAGCTTGTAAAGACCCACGAAAGCGCTAATGTAAAACGGTTTCTACTTATGAAAAATAATTGAGCTCATATTTCTCAAAACAAGTGATAATACAGCAATTGCATCGTCATATTCGTTTTTCTCGAACCAAAATTAGTGAGATTTGACTATTATCAGGAAACAGAGAACCTTTTTTGTTGATCAGTGTTATCAGTATCGGTGAAAACCCTGTAATGATCGATTTCTACTTTAGAATGGCGTTATTAGTTTCAGACTGCTTCATTATATTGTGATAAGTGAGAGGTCTATCCGAGTATTGCGTCCTTTGCACCCAAACTAAATGTGGGTAGACAGGTATGGAATTACCATTTTAATAAAGTCCCAGCTACCAAACCAACCCTTCTGCGTTAATATTTGATGTCGAGAAGTGGCTAAAATCAACACGGCTCCTCAATTAGTCAGCTTAATTATCTGGAAGCCACCGATAACGCCCTTGGATTCTCCAGTAAATAATAAAAATGCAAATCAATCCTGCGAGGGAACCAAGGCTATTAATAAGTACGTTTTCCGATTTGTTTGTGGTAGATGAGTCGACCAATCCTAATCTGAGCAGAATGTTAACATCGCTGTGCGTGGATATTCATTGATGTGTGGCTTTGCAAATAAATTATATCAATATTAGTGAATTCCAGTAGGGTCAAGTGGTGCAAAAACGAGACGATTTTTAAATCTTTTAATTTTTTGTCAACAAAAAACCGGACTTTAAGGCTTTGTTATAATGCCCTGTATATAGAAAGCCATGTAGTATACCTCACGTTAAAAAAAGTTCATAATATTCATAATGAAGGGCGTTTTGTTAAAAAAGCGTGCCTCGTTTGTAACCACTATTTAGGCTAAAAATGAGACAGTGAGAGGTTAAAAACAAGACACTGTA